TATATGTATGTAGATTACAATGCCTGTAAATATGCCCATAAAATGTTGATTAATATATCGATAACAAATTCGATAACTATGCCGAAAGATATATCGGCAATAATTCCGATAAATAAATAAATCGATAACAATGTCGATAAATATAATAATCGACATTAAACAATAATAATCGATATATATGTAGATATGCACACATACATACACACATACTTAAGCATTCAAGTCAATTTCGTTGAGTATATCGATACGAGCTATTAGCGATAGGAAACAATTTCTTTGAATATATCGATAAGAAATTCCGATTGTATTGAGGTTTGCTTAAATAAACAGAGCTGTTTATATTGTGGCTCCTACATTTTTTCAAAAGTCAGTCAAATTAAAACTCTTTTAACAATAGGAGAAAGTTTAAACCTCTGAGTCTACCTTCTTCCTTTTCGTTTTGTCTTATGTCGAAAATAAGCAGAGCGAATAGCAAAACTTTACTTGATTTTGTGGGCATCCTTTTTCTGTATAAATCAGTAGAGTTGCAAAGCTTCTGAGCTGAAATAAATTCTCTAGACGTCAAAACCTCTGTCTCCAAGTACAGATATTTTTAATTGTTCTAAGATTGAGTAGCGTGTTTAAAAATTAAAGAATCGTTGTATCTGATATTTTATTATTTTAAATTTATATATCAACTGTTTTGTCTTTTTTTCTAGGCTAAAATTCAATTCCCAAGAGAAGTAAAAAATTTGGTTTAAGTGTAATTTCCATCACTAAATATTATTTGCTACTCAACATTTTTGCTATTACTTTGCTTCACTTTGGCAACGCCATTGGCAGAACGCCTAAAAATGCGATATAAATGCAATGGTGCCACCTGGTAAATTGTGTCCTGGATGGGAAACAAAGGTGAGTCTGCAAATTTGTTAGAGACTTTTTAGTTCGAAGCAGCCTAGAATTTGTTTATTCATTCATCTTCCATATCTCTTCTCTTTCAGTTTGCATCGTTGAGGATAAATCCAGTGGAGAACCATATCGCTTCTCTATTCTCATAGATGATTTTCCAGCTTGCATTATCTATCGTTCCGGCCCATGTTTACATGAAGCAGAAATTTGCGTACGTTTGCGGCCACATATCTACATACATATGTATGTCAAACATCGTTTAGTCCGATATTCAAAAATCAAATGGCCGAATGGTGCTTCTTTGCGTATCTAAAAGTTGTTGGCGTAAAAATGTACTCGAGTACTCGAGGCTTTGTGGTTATTTTTCTGAGCACTACTTTCTGATGCCACGAACTAATTAAGATTTGTTGATTGATTTGGGTTAAATATTAAGGCAAAGAAGACAATTTTTATGGGCCACAAAAAATAATTTCAAATTATGTAATTGAAGACTACCTCAACTGCGAACATTAAATATTTAAATATTTGAAATTTTAAAGCCACTTTCGTTTTTATTTCGTCAGCATTCTGTTTAATATACAATTCACTTCAATTAGCTTTGAAATCCACTTCTGCATAATGTGTGCATGTGATATATGTACATATACATATGTAGGTAATGTATGAATACATATATGTGTACATACTATGTACGTATTTTTACACGCACTTAGGGTTATGGGGTATTCCACACTAAAGCTACACTTTCACTATCCGATGACTTGAATCAACTACACATCGACTGCTGAGTGGAAGATCGACATAGTACATATCTCGGCAGCCAGTTCGAAAATGCCCTATCTGGAAAAACTTTTCAAGAATTTTATTGAAAAACACTCTATCTCAGAATTTGGTTGAAGAACGCCTTATTTCAGAATTCGATTCAAAAATGCCCTATCTCACTTGAAAATGTATTGAAAATGGCTGATAAATATAGGGCGTTTTTGAATCGGCAGCTGAGATAGCGCATTTTTGAAACGAATTCTGAAATAGGGCATTCTTCAACTAAATTCTGAAAAAGGACGTTTTTGAAAAGTTTTGTGAGATAGGGCGTGTTTTCGAGCTGGCTGCCCAGATAGGTCGATCTTCCACTCAGCAGTCCATATCCTCTGAGAATGAAGGTAATGCATTGATTTAGGAAAGTTTTTTTCTTTAAAGGTAAAAAACTTTATAATTTTTTTTTTAATATTTATCTCATCAAGCTAAGGGAAATATGGGCGACATATTTTAGAATTTTGAGGGTCTTTGTGTTCCCATATGCCGTGGATAGGCTTCTGATATCTATTGCTCTGACGTCAAAAAGTACCTTCCAGGAGGTTATGGTCTCTGTTTTGCTTTTGCCGAGCAATGGGCTAAACGATGTTGGATAGTTTCCTCCTAATCCTGATCCACGCATCGTGACTGAGGTTTGTACCCCACTGTACCACTGATGCGACCTTTAAAATAGCCATCAATTCCTTGACAGTTTTCTAACTCCATCCAGGTAGTCGCGTAAGGAACTTGATGTTGGTAGTGCGAGTAGTGCAGTTGTTCAAAATTTTCCAGTGACAAATATGTGAGTTCGTTCATTTCTTAACTGCCTTGAGTCGGATGGCTGTGCATAAAAATCTATTCGGTGAAAGTTTTGTAACGTGTTGAGCGCTTTGGGGCTTTCGTCTATGTTGCTTCTGTTATCAGCAGAGTATAACTGTATAATTCGTCGTAATCGATCGAAGTTGATTCGAGCTAAAATAAATTCGTTTCTACTGCTGCCGATATTTTTATAGGTACCGATATACTCTTGTTTCATACCAGTATACCATCATACCCGCACCATTCGTTCGATTTTCCAAAATGAGATGTCCAATTAAAAGGCTTGGACTGTATGTGCAATAAGATTTTACTTTTTTTTTTTTAAAGGAGTTGCCACCTTAAAAAATTATATTAAAATAAAAAATTAGAAATCTATTATTACAAAATGGGTATCAACCGAAATGGTTTTGAAAAGCTTTGTTTGTTTGCTGAACTATAGGAGGGTTGCCACCTGTTTAAAAAATCATATTAGGTAAGAAAAATATGTATCACCATATGCGTACCAAACAAAAGGGGTTTCAGAAAGTAGTAGTTTGAAAATATTTTGACGAGGGTTGCCACCTGCTTGAAATGTCGAATTTAGTTTACTTATACACAAATTATATGAAACATCAAAATATGGATGTAAAACGAAGGAGTGTTAAAAAATCTTCAGTTTGAACGCTAAGAATATTTATGAGGTTTTGGAAGGAGGTTGCCACCTTTTTTTAAATTTAAAGTGGAATTATTTAGTTAGTTAAATGAATTACTAAAATATGGGTACCAATCAAAGGCGGTTTGAAAAGGTTTTATTTCTGAACTGTACTTAACGGGGTTGCCACATGCTTAAAAAATCAAATTCCACTAATTCATCAGTTAAATAAAATATGTATTGCAATGCCAGGCGAAGGAAAGTTAACAAGGATTACGCTTGAAAATAATTTTGAAGAGGGCTGCCACCTGTTTGAAAGGTCTAACTCAATTAACTAATACAAAAAGTACATGGACTATAAATATACCGTAGTCAAATGAAAGAATGTTAAGAAATCTTTAGTTAGTGTTTAAACAGTTCAAATTCAAATGATTCATTTACTTAGGGGGGTTGCCATTTGTTCGATTCTATTTTTCTATTTTTGTTTAATTGAGAACTTTTTTCATCATGAAATTTGGTGAAATTAAAAACATGCACTCTTCCAGACTACTCTTCACTGGCACTCGGACTTCTTATAACTCTGACTAACATTTTGAATATTTTTTAAGTTTTTGAAATTAAGTTTTGGGTGTTTACACGCCATGCGGGATGTATGTATTTATTGATGTAAATATCGCCACATTTATAAACGTATAATAATCGAAATATATTTTATTATACTTATCGATATTTTGACAAGCACATACGCATATTCATATTCATACTCATATTTATACTCATATTCAAATTCGTGTTCATGCTCATATTCATATTCATACTCCTTCTCATATTCATATATATATTCATATAATTTCTGTTCATATTCATACTCATACTTATACGCATATTCATATCTATACTCATACTCATACTTACACTCATATTCATATTTATACTAATATTAATATTAATACTCACACTCATACGCATACTCATATTCATACTCTAAATCATTGTACCATGGAATATCCCTTCATGAATTAAATAGCATATGTACATGCATAATACATATTGCATATATATGTATGTATGTACAACTATAACTGTTTTAATTTTTTATGTAAACACTTAAAATGCTATCAAAACCACTAGAACCACAGCATTTTATATTATGATTAACATCAAAGCACTTAACCCTTTAAGCATCATTGAGCATACTACAACAAAACAAACCAAACACGATTTAACCTAATTACAACCTTTTAACAAATATGAATAACTGGAACGCAATGTCAAGGGGTATGCAATAAAGGCAGCAGGAAGCACAATATAAACGAGGCCAACAATGATAATTATTAGCTTAAAATAACTGGAAAGGAGGACAACTGTTTGTACGAAAGGAAATGATTATGTATGTAGGTATATCCATAAGTATAGGTGCTTACATATGTTTGAACAAACAAATTTTTTCGCTCTCGCCCGCACACATTCCAAACTCATTCTCAGTTACACCCATACATACATACATGCATACAAACGCTTGCCCGTACAGCCGAGCTAGCTCAGCCAGGCACAACGCCTTGATTTATGCTTTACTGTTGCCATTATTCACACCGAAGCAGTGCGTCATTACTCTGTGTTATTGTTGTATGTATACAACAAGCGATTATTTCACACGCCTTTACATGAATGTGTTTGTATGTACATACATATGTAAATAGTACCCACATTAGTGTTGTTAGTGTATTTTGTGTGCTCTTCTGTTAGCTGCCTTACACATTCGTACAAATTCATTACAGGGGGCGTACAAGTGTTATTTCTTATTGCACGTACGAGTACCCATTATTGTGGTTAGTTAACATTGCATAACATGGCATAGCAAAATATAGTGTTAGTATGTAACTATGTAGTAGTTGTACTCACCAATGGCCAAGTGCACGGAGAGCGCGACTTTATTAATGCTTAACGCCCAAATACGCAAATTATGCACACGTCTCACACCCTCAATATGTTCGAAGACTTCGAGTACCTCGGTGTAGTGCATGTAGCTGGGTGTACCTTCCATTAGAACCTATTTATCATTTTAGCAGCGCGCAACAGCAACAATAGCCATCGAGACAGCAACAGCCATAGTCACAACACAGCCCACAACCACAGTCACAGCCGCAGCCAAGCCAAGCCAAGAAAAGCCAGGAGGACGACAGTTGCACGCGAAGCCACAGAGGTGGCCAAAGTCAGTCCGGTAGTAGGTGCCATTAATTTACACGCATTTGCGTAAATGTGTGTGCGTGGGCAGGAGTTGCGAGTTTGGTTTGCGTGTTGTTGGTTTGGTTGGTGGTTGACGCAGAGTTGGCAGCCGAGCAAGCAAATGAAAAGAAAAAGAAACAAAATGAAAACAACGAATTGTAAGTATGCAAAGCAAATATTAGTGCGTTTAACTGTAAATGCTATTGTTGTTGCAGTAATCAAAACTGTTAACAGGATAATCAAATTTAAACGGCCTACGAGATTGTAAAGTAGGCCATGAAAACAATGAAAGCAAAATAAAAGTGTAAACAATTTGTTGACTTTACGTTGACAATGGAAAATGAAAGGTGAAGAATTTTGGGGAAAAGGTGTGAGAAATAATTAAGGTCAGAAAAATAAACGAAGAAATAATAAAATTGAAAAAGAGTATTATTGGCACACCTGACGATTTGATGTGAAACAGATTTTTTAGGACACTCTAAAATGTAGATTTAATCATACATACAATCTAGATATATTAATCTAGATTTTTTTCGATTATCCTATACAGGCCTTATAGAATTTCAAACTACATAGTTCCTAAAGTTACAGCTGCTTTGATGAAATTAAAGCAAAATTTATCGATATTTAATGATCGAAATCTTAGATTCCCTAAACAAATTTATAGCATGAAGTTATTTTGTGATTTGTCTTTAAAGCTGTCGATATTTTATAGGGAAATATTTAATAGAAATACTACATTTATCAATACAATTTTTAAGCAGATACATGCATCTATACATTAGGGTGCATTACCAAACAAAGTTGCGGTTTTGCACTGGAATCATAAAGCTTATTATATTTAAATTATTTACCTGCTTTGGGCGAAACTGAAAAGACCTCCACAAATATAGTTTATTTATATAAATAAAATTAGATTTAAAAAAAAAAATTTTGTATGCAAAATAACCTCAGATGATAGAAGAGTGTATCTGAGCTTGAAAGGCATGCATAAAAATGTTTGAACAATAGATTAAAGAAATCAAAATATTAAAATTGTTGGAGGTAATCAGTTCAACTCATATACATATATAAATCTTAATATTTTTCCGAAATATTATGCCGAAAGTCTGAAAATGTAATAAATTTTATAAGTTTTAATATTTTTCTGAACTGTTAAGTCTGAAGTGAAATCTGAAAATATATTTAATTGTTAAATTCTTAATATTTTTCCGAAATATTATGGCGAAAGTCTGAAAATGTAAGAAATTGTATAATTCCGAAAACAGTACCGAATTTATTTTTCATGGATAGTGATGTACCCTGATATATGTACATACACTGCCGGCAAAAAGTATTGGCAGAGCAAATTTTTCACAATATATATGCAAAAATTTTCTTTCTAATATTTTTCCGCCAATTTTTTATAAGCATATGGTTCATGCTGCAACAAAAAACATAAATATATAATTCCTAAACTTTATGCAAAACTCGCGAAAATTCAGCAAATTTTCAATTTTTTAATCATAGTTTTTAGATTATTTTTGGAGTATGCTGTTTTTCAGACCATTAAATTCTAGTTAAAAAAATGCAAGTACGGAATTAGTAAAAAATAGCATTGATTTTTAAGATTTTTTTTTGGTTGGAGGTATTTTGCATTTTCTCCATATAAATTATTTTCGAAAAAAAATTTTTGTATGGAAGAGACTACGTGAAAAAAAAATTCCAAAAATCTAAAAAAAAAGCTACTTAAGACTTAACTTTATTATAAAATTGATTGGGCTACAAATCTGCATACTCAAAAAAAAAATTCTAAAAAAAAAAAAATTTGTGTGAAAATTTGCTGAATTTTCGTGAGCTTTGCACAAAGTTTAGGAATTATATTTTTATGTTTTTTGTTGTAGAATGAACCATATTTATATAAAAAATTGGCGAAAAAATATTGTTGCATATATTATGAAAAATTTGTTGTGCAAATACTTTTTGCAAAATCTATGAATACAAAGTTTGAAATTTTGATGAACATTTTTTGAAGTTTATTAATTTTTGTGATTTTTGTATAAAGTTTGCAAGATTGATTTACATAATATGTATTATATAGTATAGTTTTTGTTATAAAAAAAAAATAAAAATTATTAACGAACTAGATTTATGAAGGAAAACATTTTCGATATTGTCAAAAACCTAAATTACGAATACTTCTGTGAGTAACTGCATCTACTTGGATGTCGTTAGATGGTATAACCAATTTGTAGTCGATAATTATTTGTAGTCGATTAGTATTTGCTAAAATCTAACGATTAATTTTTTTCGATAAAAATACCAACAAATTTAATGGCGACAAATGCATACACTTCTTGATAAGTTTTTAATTTTATAAATCGATAAATTAGGCCCTCACTTCATCGATTGGCGAAATTTTCTAAAACAGTTTAATCGATAATTCTAAATTCGACTTTACAAATGTAGCAGTTAGCGATCAATAATCGATGTTTATCGAAAAAAAACAATAGTTCAATCGATAATTCCAAATTAATAAAATTACGGTGATCGATAAATAATTAATATTATCGAGAAAAGAATAGCTTTTTCTGTTTAAGCTATATAAATATTACATTTATCGATAGCATTGTAGTTGTAATGATCGATATTTATCGGGTAAGTTTTGTGTAAAAGCAATTCAAATAAATACTTACCAGAATCGTTAACTTGAAAATCAGAATTTCTTTTTGAGCTGTTAAAACTCCTAATGGAGTTAATTAAAATTTAAATGGAGAGATTTCACCCATAAACCTCTGAATGATAGGTAGTGACAAAAAATTTGGGATTTAAAATTTTCGATAAATGATCGATAAAAAATAAATATGAATGTGTCTCATAATCAATTAAAAATCAATATAATTATCGTGTTGCGACCGAAAAAGGTATTGATATTTGTCGCTACATTCAAAGGCAATATCAATTAGATTTAAAGAAACATATATATTTGCAATAACATTGTAAGAAATAATAATTATTTCTGGTCACATTCGTAATGTTTGTAGAAGAATATTGTATAGAAAGCGGCACATGGTTTTATAAGGTGAAATATTCCCGTACGGTGTTAATTTTTTTTGTTTAAATCCGCAGATCAGTCATATTCTCTCTAAATATATACTTCTCAAAAAATTTATCGATTGAACTATCGATATATTTATCGATAAATGTATTCAAATTGCAATACCAGTTTATGCCCGATACAGCTTACTTTGGTGAACTTTGGGAGGCTAGAAACTTTCAAACTTTAAGCTACTCTAAATTCGATCTTATTAAACTAAAATTTATCCTATTCAACCTTCTAGTAATGTATTTACTCACCAGCAGCGCATCCTTCATGATGGAGAACGTCGTGAAGAGCACTATAATTGAGAAGAAAAATGTACAAATGGGATCGATGATCGCCCAGTCTGGCCGAAAGAATATCACCACAGCGGCCAGAAATACACCGGCGCTCTGAATCATATCACCAACGACATGTATGAAAGCAGCGCGTACATTCAAATTTTCAGCATCACGTGCCGCCGAGCCGCCGTGATGATGCGCGCCAGCTGCCGTCTCCGCCATAACCGCAGCAACCTCCGCATGCACCTCCTTTAACGAAGTCGAGTTCTGATAGGAGAAAGTGGACAAACCAGAAACTGGCATTGCGGCATCGTTAGCGTCCAACTCCAGCTCGCCGGCGCCATCTTCTAGCGGACGTTGGGGCGCCGGCAAGGCGCAGGGACCAGTTGGTGAGCACGTCGGTCCGGCCACATAGCGTTTTTCAGCACTCGCGGCTGGCTTTGTAGTGGTGGGGGTGAGCGTCAAGTCACCGCTACAGCTATCATTTGCCGCTTGAATATTAGCAACTTTTTTACCACTCGTTTGTTTCGTCTTGCCACCATGACTATGGCCGTGCGAAGCAGAGGCCATGCCACCATGTGAGTGGCCATGTTGCAGCTGGATGCCCATGCTGAAAAGAGATAGAAGAGGAGATTGTGAGTAGATAGTAAATAGCTCAAATGTATGCGAATGTATTTATGTATGTACGTAGGTAAAGCAATATAATTAAGGCATACAAAGTAAGACTTTTATGAGAACTTTTTGCTTTCATTGCATTCATTCGCAATTTACATGCCTCCACAAAAGAGGTTCTGTTTCAAATCAACGCTAATTACATTTTTCCACTTCACTCAACCTGGCGCGGCAACTTTTTTGCCCTCTGCTTAATTTGCTAATGTTACGCTGTTACTATGCCTTCTTAGGCGGCAACGTTGAGGCTTAGCGGCTGCGATTCGCCTTTGGCTCACGCGCGCTACGACTCAACTAACTCGTTGCCTAGGACCTTGGCATTGCCTCGTTTATCCACACACATATTATCCTGCCGCACGCAAAAGAGCGTCTTTTCCAACATCTACTGACATAAAGCAAGTTTTTGCTGCCGTATACTTTGATTCGCACTCACACACTGGAATTTGTGGCACACACATCTAGCGCGAGCGCCACACCGCATGGGCCGGCTACCCAAGTTAGCCAATCTTCTTTCCCTCTGTTGGTATCATTCATATTTTTTCTTTTATCCTTTGCGGGTAACTCTTGCCGCCTGAGGGCGCGCGTTACGTTATAAATAAATGCTAAGAAATGGCGCGTAGTTACGCTTCACTTCCGCGCTCAACTCGACTCAAGTCGGTGCGCGTTGCATCTCTATCTGCGACTAATACTCGTACAACTCAAATCGCCGTTGCTCGTTCGTTTCACTTCAGCTGCGTTTAGGTTTCTCTGTAGAATTTTATGTGTGCAACCGAGCGTTAAGCGAAATGTTATTTCTTATTTCTTTATTCCATTTCTGAATTTTATTCTTTTATTGCAGCAGAAGTAAATGAAAATTTATGAGATTTACAGGCGTTGAATGAAAGGAATTGAATTAATAAGAATTGTGGAATTTACTTATTTGAACTTCTTAAAGTGACTGAGTTACTTTGGTGAATTTCGAATCGAATTGGTTTAAGAACTCATCTATAATCGAATGTGGAAACAAACACCGAACCGGATGCAGTTTTGTAGAAACTTAGGGTGCCGAGATTCGACCATTTTTGTAGTTTTTGGAAAACCTTGGAAAAGGTATAAAATTAGTTATCGGAAAATCTGCTGCTTTGAAATTAAAACGTGGCTAAATGTGTTTATATTTTTCAAGGTCTTCGGAGGACGTTGTCAGGCCTTGGAGTTCATCCGATACATACCAGTTGCAATTTGGACAATTTCAAACATATCGATAATTCGATAAATTTAAAAAATACTAAAATCCGATAACTCAAAATAAATTCGATAAACTTCGATAACTGTGCATTTCGAGGGCTCGATAAATGTCGATAACTCAAAAATGTATATATATAGATATAAATCGATAACTTGATAAACATTGGATACCACCCTCCGAAAGCTTTTGACAAATTCCGATAACTCGTTACACTCTGGTAACACGAAGTTCGAAGTAAATCTACGACATTGATAAAATGGGAGATTTGTGCGGGGTAATGAATCTCTTCCGGCAAATCTTCGACTTTGCCTGTAACATGAGTTCAATCCAGTGGAAACTTTATGCAGTGTTAACAATTTTTTATAATGGACAAAAAGTTTTGGCAATTTGAAAACTGGACATAAATATGTGGTTCTTTTTGAAAGCTGGGTATCATTTTTGCGCAAACATTTTGGGTTATTTGAAATGGGACATAAATTTGAGGTCAAAAAAACTGGACATACATTTTTGGACATTTCAAAACTGGACATACATTTTTAATCACTTAAAAATTAGGCACACATTTTTTATCACTTAAAAATGCCCATTTATTTTTAGTAACTTAAAAAATGGCCATAAATTTTAGTCAAAAATGTTCATAAGGTTTTTGTTCATCTGAAAACTGGTCATAAATTTGTGGTAGATATTTTGAAAAGTAGTTTCGGGCAAACAAGTTTTGGCCATTTAAACATACATTTCTTGTAATTTAAAAACTGGCCATACTAACCAGGCATACATTTTTGTAATTTAAATAGTGGATATACACAAATTTTTAGTTACTTAAAAACTGACCATCAAATTTTGATCACTCAGAAACGCGTGATATAACTTTTCGAACACTTAAAAACTGGACATAAATTTTAGATATTTAATAACTAGACATAAATTTTTGTCATATAAAACCTTATTTATTTATTTTTGGTCAGTTATTATATTATGGCTTAAAAACTGGCAATTCATATTTGGGCATTTAAAAACTAGACATAAGTTTGTGGTATTTTGAAAGCTGATTATAAGTTTTGGGCGAACA